TACGCGGCGCTAGTATACACGTGAAATTCTCATATAAAATATCTCGAGATTCTGACCAGATAGAAAGTTACTGTTTCGGCAAAGTTTTTCAGGAAGTTAAGATCTTTTTGTTAGTGGAGTAGTGCTAGTATATACGTGCAATTTTTGCATATACAATAGCTCGAGATCCTGAGCAGATAGAAAGTTACTGTCTTGGGCAAGCTTGTTCAGGAGGTCAAGTATTTTTGGCGGGTGGACAGTAGTTCAGAATTTTCTCACTACGCGGCGCTAGTATACACGTGAAATTCTCATATAAAATATCTCGAGATCCTGACCAAATAGAATGTTACTGTCTTTGGCAAAGCTGTTCAGGAGATCATAGCCTTTTTGCTGGTGAACAGTAGTTAAGAATCTTCTCACTAGGTAGTGCTCGTATACATGTTAAGATCTCGCATGTGGTACATGACTAGATCCTGACCAGATAGAGAGTAAATGTCTTTGGCAAAGTTGTTCAGGAAGTCAAGATCTTTTCGTTGGTGGACAGTTGTTCAGAATTTTCTCACTACTCGGTGCTAGTATACACATGTAATTCTCGTATATACAATAGCTCGAGATCCTGAGCAGATAGAAAGTTACTGTTTTCGGCAAACTTGTTCAAGAGGTCAAGACTTTTTGGCTGGTGGACAGTAGTCCAGAATTTTCTCACCACGTGTCGCTAGTAAACGTGTACAATTCTCGCGTATACTATAGCTCGAGATTCTGAACAGGTAGAAGATAACTGTCTTCGAAAAAGTTGTTCATGAGGTCAATGCCTATTGCTTGGTGCACAATAGTTCAGAATTTTCACACTACGTGGCATTAGTATACACGCAAAATTCTCGCATGTAAAATATCTCAAGATTCTGATCAGATAGACTTTGCTAGTGGACAGTAGTTCAATATTTTCTCACTTCGTAGCGCTAGAATACACGTAAAATTCTCGCATGTGGTTTCTTTCGAGATCCTGACCAGATAGAAAGCTACTGTCTTCGACAAAGTTGTTCAGGAGGTCAAAGCCTATTGCTTGGTGAAAAATAGTTGAAAATTTCCTAAGCGGCTCTAGTATATGTCGTGAGTGCTGATAAACCAGTGGTAAAGACACAAGCTTGATAACCTCAACGTTGGTGGTTCGAATCCTTTTTCTTTTTGTTGTTGAAATTATCAATATTGCAACCATCTAAGAAATTGGTGAAATCTAAATATAATACTACTCACCACAGTATACACGTGAAATGTTAACATATTAAATATGACGAGATTCTGACCAAATAGAATGTTACTGTCTTCGAAAACGTTGTTCAGGGAGCCAAGGCCTTTTGTCTGGTGTACAGAAACTCAATTTTGTATACACGTGCAATTCTCGCATTAGATATATTTCGAAACCTGCTAAACTGTCATTGGCAAAGTTGTTCAGGGGATCAAAACTTTTTCGTTGGTCGACAGTACAGAATTTTCTCACAACGGGGCGAACGTGAAATCTTCGCGTATATAATATCTCGAGATCCTGAATAGCTAGAAATTTAATGTATTTTGCACAGCTGTGAAGGAGATAAAGATCTTTTGGCTGATGAACAGTAGTTCAGAAATTTCTCAAAACTTGGCGGGCCTTTCTCGCATATCAAATATTATAAAATAAACATATAATTTACATCAGCCTAAAAGGGATAAGAAAAATATATTATGGATTTCTTTTACTGGCGAAGATTTTCATGCATATTTGTGGATACATAAATTGGGGTGAGTTGTTCCACTTTTATACCTCTGACAAATTAGGAATAACACGTATCTCAGATGGAAGACATTATCTTGAAGATCAATATCGCTGAAACTTCCACCAAATGAATGTTTAGAGTCTTCCTTTCATTTTAGGCTAATTTCAAAATGTCTTATCGAGGAGTCTAGAACAATAAAAAAAAAAAAAATCCCTGTATTTACGTGTGCACGGACAACGAGACTAACAGAGTGAGGCACTTTTGCTCGGTTGAATGGAGAAATTTACAAAACCGTACCTTCGTATCATAAGTTTAAGGACACCACCTAAAAACGTAAAATTTTTGTTCATTTTAGAACATTTGAAAGATTTTGAATGGAAATACAAAGAGACAAATTGCTCAATATCATTTTAAAATTTTGTATGCCAAAGGTTCACCCAAAGTTACACTATTTTTCAAAATTTACTCTGAAGAGTCATGATTGATTTTCTCAGAATTGACTTGAAAAAATAATTTGAAATTAAACGTAGTAGTAGAACCCTTACGCTATACCATTCTTACCATTCATTTGACATAAGGAGATCAAAAATTAGACGTAAACTGAGAGAACTTTGAACAAAACACATTTGCATGTTCACCATCCGGAAGAACTTTGCCGCATGTACAACTTTGACGATGACAGTTACTTACTGACCTTAAGCTATAGCATATACAAATATTTTACTTGCACATTAGCGCCGCATACCGAAAATATTCTGAACTATTTACTGTTCACCAGCAAAAAAGCTTTGATCTCCAATAAACTTTGGCCAAGACAGTAATTTTCTAGCTTTTCGGGATCATGAGTTGTATCATATATGAGGATTACACGTGTATACTAGCGCAGCGCAGTTAGAAAATTCTTACACATTGTGCACCAATAGGTTTTAACATCCTGAACAACTTTGTTCAATACAGTAACTTTCTATCTCAGTGTTCACTCGGCTGTCGACAGAAGCAGACCACTCTCAATGTGTGTCACGCGATCGTCTGTTTACTCGGCAGCAACCATTGTATGGTCCTCCTCATCGTTCTTCATCAGTAGTTCTTTCAGTCGATGCGTCGTCGACTTTGGAAAGCAACCGTTTCGTGATGAATGTGTGAGTGCTGACCACGTTTTGCGTCCATTGTTGCAATGGACGTGCTCTGACCCTCGTTGGCGAATCTGCCATAGAATGAAACCATTGGAAGCGGCTCCCGTTCTGGTGGAGGAGGCTTATTGGACAGCGGAAGATAAAATGTTTATTGTGTTGTACCTTTTTACTATAGTTTTAAGATGTATTATATAGCAATCCAAGAACAAGAATCCTCGGCTCTGTAAAGTTAATTCGGTTGAGCCTTATCAAATAAATTAATAAAAAAAAAGTAACTTTCTATCTGGCCAGGATCTCGAAATATATAACAGGCGATAATTTCACATTTTACTAGCGCTACTTAGTGAGAAAATTTTGAACAACTGTCCACGAGCAAACATTTTGTGATATCCTGAACAACTTTGCCGACGACAGTAATTTTCTATCTGGTCAAGAACTTGAGATATTTTATATGCGAGAATTTCACATGTATACTAGCACCATGAAGTGAGAAAATTCTGAACTACTGTCCACCAGCCAAAAGACCTTAACCTCCTGAACAACTTTGTCGTAGACAGTAACTTTCTATCTGATCAGGATCTCGAGATTAGCATATGTCAGAAGTGTACATGTATACTAACGTCACGTGGTGTGAAAATTCTTAACTACTGCTTACCAGCCAAAAAGTCTTGACCCTCTAAACAACTTTGCCGACGACATCAACTTTCTAGCTGATCAAGATCTCGAGCTATTGAATATGCGAGTAAGGCACGTATATACTAGCGCCGCATAGTGAGAAAATTCTGAACTATTGTCACCCAACAAAAAGATATTGACTTCCTGAAAAACTTTGCCGAATACATTTACTTTCTATCTGGTCAGGATCTAGAAATATTTTATATGCAAGAGTTTCACATGTATAGTAGCGTCGCAAAGTGAGAAAACTCTGAACTACTGTCCACCTGCGAAAAAGCCTAACATCCTGAACAACTATGCCGAAGACAGTACCTTTATATCTGGTTGGGAGCTCAAGATATTTTATATGAGAATTGCACGTGTATACTAGCGTCGCGTAGTTTGCAAATTACATGATTTTTTGTGCACCAAACAATAGGCTTTGACCTCCTGAAAAACTTTGTGAAAGACAGTAACTTTCTATCTGGTAAGGATCTCGAGGTATATCATATGCGAGAATTTCACATGTATACTAGCGCTACGTAGTGAGAAAATTCTGATCTACTGTCCGCCAGCGACAAGGCTATGATATCTTGAACAACTTTGTTGGAGACAGTAACTTTTTATCTGGTCAGGATCTCGATATATTCCATGTTGTAATCAATTAAGTCAAATCCCACGTAGTATGGTCACAGTTTACGCGGTTTTCATTTACATTTTTCCTATTATCCGCATTTTTTAGGTGCTTACTGTTTGATTGTGAGATTTAGATCAAAACAAGTTTTTTGAGGAATACTCGTTGGTTTCAGATCGATTGGTAACTCAGCAACAAAATGGCAATGGAAAACTCATGTGTGTTGTACAAAGTACAACAGCGCGAGTAACGGAGGGTTAATGGGACTGTTGGGATGTGCTGCTGCAGTTGTCTTCATTTGATCTCACAGGGTCACGGTTGTTCTCATATATGAGGGTGGTTGATAAAGATGAAGTCACAACTCATGTTTTCGGTGTTTACCTTGCAAAACAAACAATTCACATCGCATTGAAATACAAAACACTTCAAATCCATCTGAATAGAACAGTAGTGTGATTCAATCTGCAATACACTTGAATTGATAGAGAAAGGTTATTAACATTTCAAAGTTTGAAACACTAGTAATCATCGTGTAGAACACATTGAACCATGAAGAAATACACTTAAATTAAATATTGTGCATATGAAAAATCTGGCATTTTAAACACTTCGATCAGACGTGTGAACTTTTTTCAATGTAGGCATTGGAACTGCGAGGTTCCAATTTCCAACAGGTTTTTTAAATCGTTAAAACTATGCGTTATTTTTCACCATAGTTTCGTAGCTCCTTTGTGAACGCTCAAAGCCTTGATAAACGCTGCAGTTACCATTATATGCGTTTTGTTTTTGTTTATCTGATAAAAATGTGGTCAAACAGCGCACGCACAAAAATAATCATCGCCTACTTACCGTGCTTGCCTTCCTCTCCATCGAGGGCCTGCAGCGTGATGGCATGCAACTCATCCTCTAGGTCGACGTGACAGTCCGTCGCGTCCCAGGATAGGAAGCCTGAAAGTAAACAGAGAACAAACAATGTTGACCGATTAATACACAAAAAGGGAAAATGCTTTATTTGTTTGATATTGTGTTGGAATAAATCTGATTGTAAGTGAAATTCTTTTGATTCCAGTGAACTCCCTCCGCTGCCATCAATGCGCCCTCGCTCGTTGTGGGACTTCGGAGGAATTGATCGAATGCAGTGAACGCACCGTCAACTACCTTTACCAACAGCTGGAACCGATGGCTGATTTGTACGCTCAAGCAACCTCTATTGGACAGTACAAATGCTTCACGGTGATGCTCTCCGATGGGAATAACACGGCGATGGTCAAGAGTTGTACCTATGGGGAGTCCAACATCTGCACCGGTTGGAAACAGGGGATAACCGTCCAGGAGTGCAAAACGTGCGAAACCGACTACTGCAATGGGTTCGATTCCGCCGAAACGGGGTCATCTGGATCCGGTCTACCGCGGCGGCCGTGGTGGTATTGGCTGTTGGTTATTGTCGCATTGTTTGCAATTCAAATTGGATCGAAACACCGATGAGTAACCATTAAACAGTGATTTAATTAAAATGGTAATTCGCCTGAGCGCAAAAAAAAAATCCGAATGCCTTGCCATACCATCCAGAGGAAAATTGGAAATGGTCACGTTGAAGTGGGCTCTGCTACAGTTTGGGGGAGTTCCAGCGAGCAAAATCGCTAAGTAAAATGTGCAACTTTTCTTACCCATCAAAGAGTAGCGCATTTATTCTTTAATTACAGGCAAATTTCCTCCATTGTTAACGTTAGAAGAGACGTTTTTGTTTTCAATATTCTATCCCTTGCCTTATGGAAAGCCTTCTGTCAGTCATCTGTCGTAATATGTTTTGAGAATTTCCATTGACTTTAATTAAATTTTGAAAATTGCATACCTGCCCAGCAACAAGCGAGAATGAATATTCTGTACCCTAATGCCTTTTCCCTTAGTCTTTGAACCACGAAAATTTCGAGCAGCAGCAGCACAGCTACTTCTTCTCTCCATCAGAATTAATTTATGTTACAAAATATTTCAACACATTTTTGTCTAGCACAACTGCCGTCAGCATCAATCAAGCTGTCAGCTTAGCAGAGTTCTGCAACGTGAATTTCATGGCCGAACATCTGGAAGCACATCTCTGCCATTGCAGCCGCCCATCGACACTTTCTCCTAAAGTTAATAAATTGAAAATCAAAATGCGCACACCCATAAATCAGTTCGAGGCGTGTGATGATAACGGCACTGACTGCCGCCCATGGCTCTTCTATTTTCACTCGGCTAATTTGCTCATTATTTCACTCACCGACTGCCGCTCACTTACATCCATTGTTAATCTTTATGGGTTTACAATCGGATAAGCGATTTACTAGGTGGAACTGCTCATTGCACAACTCCGACCAGCCCCCCTGCAGGGGGCGGCTTTGTTTTATTTCATTAACCTCGAATGGCAGGAAAAAAAAGTTTATTGGATCAACGCCGAAAATTGCCATGGCCAATGAGCATTTTATGTTCTCCAATCAATCCAACGCAGCTCTACTAAATAACCACCGGCCAACGCGAACAGGTTAGGTTGATGACGGTAATGTGGCTATGGCTATGTTATATGGGAGCCTGCTGTTGGAGAGATTTATGGAATTTCTTCCAACCGAACGCCCGAACGCCGCTTCTGTCCGACGCCGGCTTATATTGCATCAGTCGATATCGAAAAGTTATCGACCGTGAAGAATTTGATGAAGAAAAATGGGAGTTGGCACGTTCGGGAGAGCTTTTCCCAATATCTTGTTGGATTGGAAAGTTGAGCTGCGTTGCTCGGTGCGAGGCGTTGTGATAAATAGAAAAGTAGACGATGGAAAATTTGTTTCAGTATTTTCGTTAATAGAAAAAGGAGCAATCTGGCTGATGGTTGAACAGATGGTAGAATCATTAGGGAGTTTTAGCGATAACTTTATAAAAGGGATAACTGTCAAGAGTTTGCAAGAAAGACCAACCATTAGGGTTTTGTTTAAAAATACCGAACTGTTCATTCTTTTGGATACTTCATTTTCAATTAAATATTACGTCTACTTCGCTACATAATAATAGTGTGTGATCATTCTGAGTGATACTAAAAGACTATGATAAAACTTACGAGCAATTTTGGTCAACCTTAAGAATGCACCTTGGCTCCTCTCTTACCTCAGTTTTTAAAGGCGCAGCTACAAAGCAAGACCATGCTGGATGTGGCTGGGTTCGATTCTCGGTCCAGTATAGGAATTTTTCGGGTTGGAAAATTTCTCGACTTTCCTGGGCATAGAAGTATGATTGGACTTGCCACACAATCATATCAATGCAAAAATGGTACAGGCATCGAAAGCTCTCAATTAACAACTGAGGAAGTGCATCTAGATTATCCAAGTTGAGAGCACGCCATAAGCCAAAATGCGATAAGCAATAAGCTTGAAAATGTGAAGAAGGAAAATAAAAATAATAGGAAGAAGTATGCATCATCAACGCCCTTTCTAATGCATTAGAGATAAGATGCACATTGTGCATTAGAGTCAAAAAAGACCCAAACTGCAACTCACTTCCAAAAATCAATTTTTTAACCGATTCTAGATCTATTGGCCTCAACTGAAAGATGAAGATTCCTTAAAAGGTACCCTTCTCAGGGTTACTCCAATTTGGCCATTTAGGATACCTGGCACCGGTTCTGATAGAGTACAAAAGGACACTTATAAAACCTCATGTACTAGTACCTTAGAGACCAGACCAGACTAAGACCAGAAGGTCCCGAAGAAATGTGCTCAACTTCTTGGCTCAGCTCTGGTACTATAATACCTCATGTACTGGTACCATCCGACGGGTCAAAATTTGTGATTTTACAACAGAACGGATTCTGGTTTTTGATGATCAGGAATGCCCGTTGGAAATTGTCAATTTCCTTTTGCATTAGAAACCTATCATGTGAGCAAAAAAAATCACTGTAAAACATCGTCGCAAAAACATTACCGCCATCTGTTGAATACACTTTGGTGGACACTGCACTGAACAGATGGCGGCAGTGTGTAAACGTCAAACGCAAGGGAATTGACTATGCGCGCCACAGGTGGCGGTACTACCAACTACGATACTGTTCAGCTGTCCGATAAATGCTTGTTCGATGAACAACTTGCGAATGTTATGCCTGTTTGTCTGTGCCTAAACTATTAAGTTGTTTGCCCAAAATGACACGTGGCCTTTGATTATCGAAGCCATAAAAGATGTAGTCTCAATCATCAAAAAGTTAACAGTTCAACACATGTATTTTCAAAAACTGATTTTAGGTATCCGGATGTTTTCCATGTTTAATAAGCTTTCATCTCGTTATTCTGAACAATATATAAAAAAATCGCAAGGTTCTAGGACAATTTTTTTAATGTTACCACTTTATCGGTCATTCTGGATGCTTCTTTGGGTCAGTAGAGGTTCCTTGAGGGCGTATATGGTGTCGTTACACCATATAAAGACTGTTCATTAAAGAAAGTGGACACCTGTTTATCAATGGTTTAACCCTAAAACGTAACGAAAAATTGTGAATTTTCGCTCAGTGTGTAAAAAACATTGTTTATTTTGGCAACACCTCTGAAAAATAAAAAAAAAGTCAGGAATTTCAAACGATGGGTCGGATCAACTTATCAACTCGCAGATTAATTCTGCACAAATGGTTTTCCGAAAAGTTGTCGTTCCGAGAATTGGCCAAATGCGTGAAGTGCAGTGAATCTACATACAGTGTTCAAGATTGTTAAGAAGTTTGCGGAAACGTGTTCTCTTGAAGATTTACCGAAATCTGGGCGCAAAAAGGGGGCATCGGACCAGATAAAGGAGCTGGCAGCAGTACGCCTTTTTAAATCGCATAAACCGTGTTCCGTTCGTGAAATTGCCAAAAAAATGGAACTGTGCAGAATATCAAAAAACGTAACAATATCAGAACCTACAAGAGGCGAAAAGCACCCAAAAGGACGGATTCACAGAAAGCTTCTTCGAAAATACGGTCACGGAACTTGTATGACGTTCAAAAGCCGAACCGGTGCATTTTGATGGACGACGAGACGTACGTCAAATTGGATACCACAACCTTTTTCACATCAGGAAACATGTTTTTGTTTCACTTCTAGTGGACGCCGAAAGCAAACCAAGAATAAATTTTGAGTGAGACTTATTATATCTTTAAATTTATTCGATTTGAATAAAAAAAAAACTAACTAAACTGATACTGTTCCACGGAGAATAAAAAATGAAATATTGGTGTATATTTCAATAAACGTCGCAATTAAAAAACCTGAATTAATCCACACAATGGTGTGATCTGACCCTTCTTATTACTGTAGATTCTGATTTTCTCCTTAAAAATGACCCCGAAAGCACCACCCTAATAATGTACCTATTACGAACCGTAACCCAAATGGTTTAACCATATCACACATAGTTCGGAAGATAACCTGAACAGGTTGTTAAGCTCTTTTTATGGTTATTTTATAGGTGGGCAAGAACCCAACTGAAAGTGGGCACACAATATTACCACCATTGATAATGTTATTAATTTTTTAAGTACTTTGATGCACCATATTGGATTGGATTTTAATTCAAAACGGGTCTGGTTAATTCTCGGGGGGCATCTGGGGAATTCCCGGAGCTGACCAATGTGGTTTGTGGCGTAGGAAACGGCCACAATTGATTTGGTTATCATATTTTGAAGTAATTTGTTTTATCACATTATAGGTTTCATTCCTTACCGTTCAAATTTAGTATTATGGCTTATTGCTCCTGTCACATTTCCAGCACCAGTTGACCGATTCTGAACCTGTTCAATAATGTTCTATGGGCGAGGCTATGCGATCATGATGCTTTTCATTTGGTGGTTGTTGCGTGCAATTCGCATTAGTGGTTACCGTGAAATACGACATAGTTCCCAAATTCCATGTTTTTCGGAACTTGTCCCTCCATTTCCGGAAATAAAATAGTTGAACGCTTCT